TCCCTGTAGCTCATGAATTCTTCCAAAGTAACAGGAAGGCTGATTCCTTGACAATAAAATACTGTGAAAACACTGCTGAAAACAGATGAGGTGGCCAGGTAGGAACAATATCACTATTTGCTTCTCGTCAGGCTGCTGGCAGCCCTGGAGACTGCAGAGATGGAGCCATGGGTGCTCATGTGCATAACTAGCTGCTACTTACACAGGTAAATAGCAGAACTAATCTAAGATCAAGGAAAGGATTATTCATATCACCTTTAATGAAATATTGGGCCAATAATCTAACATTATGAGTTCTGACTTTCACATACAGAGCTGAATTTCATTCTGGTTATACTTCCAGGGCTCCAAAGATGAAAGACTCCTGTGCAGCCTGCCAGGGCAGCCCCAGGTTCTCAGTGCTCCATGGAGTTCAGGTTCTCTCAGAACACGAGCAAGCCCTTAATCTGTCAGCCCTTTGGCAGTCTGGATGCAGTGGAGGAGGGTGGGGACTGACTCTGAACTGCCGTTCCCCAGAGTTCACAAACCTTGCTTTATCAGCCAGGAGCAATCCCAGCTCTGCTCCGAGAATCCCTTAGCTCATTGCTAACCAGCGGAGCGGTGGGAGAGCGGCACGCAGTGCTCACACCCCCTGCGCTGTTATTATATAAAACCTGGCACCGGTCTCCAAGCTAATGAAAACAAACCCAGTGTTTTCTTCAAAACAACCATTTGGCGCCTAATTTTCAAATCCGGCAACCAACTGCAGCTGGCTCGGTGCCCATCACCATAGAGCTCTTTACAGTCCCTTGGGGCTGGCCAGGCTGGCTCAGCCTCCGTCGTGGTCTCACTGGAGACGGGTTCAGGTTTCAATTTTTTTCTGTTAAACAAACCAAGCAACCCCCAGTGTGTTAGGAGCTCAGTATTTAGCAAAGAAAAGTGAAAGCAGAAACTTTTCGCTCCCCTTTGAAAGATAATTACCCCATCGTGCACCGTAATGCGGGAAATGCTGTGTGCGTCTGGGAGTGCGGAGATCCCCCAAGGCAGAGCCTCCGCCAAAGTCAAGGTTTACAGAGTAAACGTGTGTGAGAGGGGAGAAGACAGGTCTGGGGAGATAAAGAGGTATGTGCATGGGATCAATCTCTCTTGTCCACACTGCGTGATTAATAAACGAGGTGAAAGGAATGCTTTCTGCAATTCCAGAGTGCGCTCCACCCAAGATCTCAAAGTACTTTATGAAGAATAACTTACCAAGCTTTATAATGATCTTGTGACGGAATGAAGATAACCGTGAAGATTACTCAGGTAAAGTCTGTATGGAGCAGCTCAGTGGACCTGGCTTTCGGGTCCTACCAATGCATCTGTCACATTGGAAAACATTTTTCCACTCCGCAGCTGGTGACAACAGTGACGTGCCAGAGCCCAGGCTCAGTCAGCACTTGTGTTGGAGCTGCGTGTCCTTAGCGTGAGGGGCAGCTCCGACCCACCGTGAACCTACAACAGGGAGCCATTTGCTGCCTCGAGTTTGGTACTGGGCTGACCAGCAGAGACCCTGCCCTCCCCAGCCCTCCTGCAGCCTGTGCTGCGTGCTGGATTTTGGAGGCCAGCAGCAGCACCTCACTTCTTTCTGTACCAGCAGCGCGCTGTGGGTAGGTGGAAGGATCAGCTGGGTTGGGCAGCCATGAAAGAGATTTCCTTGGGTGGAGTAAATGAGTGGGAGCTACAGCAAATGAGGAGAAGCTTTAGGTTGATGGCGATATTTGCAGGCTACCTTAACACTGCTAAACTCCATTTCTGGGTATGAGAATATCATCACTTTGTAGGATTTGATTTCTTTTATAGTGTCTATAGAAATCTCACATGTAAAAGGAAAATCAGCTTCAGCTTGGCCCTGCGTGGTGCAGTGTGGACAGTGGCATGCAGCTCTGCCCACTGGAAAGACTGGGGCATTACACAGTGGGGGCTCGAGAGATGTGGTTGCTCAGTGGCTGATCTGCCCAAGTGCAGGAATTTCAAAGCTGGACCTGCTGTGACTGAACCTCTGAGCTCCCTCAGGTGCTAAGGATTGTATACACCTCCATGAAGCCAGAGAAGTAACTGGTGAGCTTGAAGTACTGAACTTCCCAGCCTGCAGAGAACTAATAAATGACACAAATTCACTGGCTGACAGTTCTTCCCGCGCCCCGAAGAGACCAGACCAGTTCTCCATCAGGAGACATGGCCTCAGTTTACCAGCATGGTGTCCACCTCTGTTGCTCCCAGTAGTGTGGACAGGTGCTCTGAAGGAGTCTGCGATACTGCCATCAGAATTGGTCCAGAGCTTCATCAGTCTCTAGGGATTTACTCACCCCGTCAATGGAGATGCCAGCCCCAAACGTAACCCCCCTGCTGCAGTGTACACAGCCCAGTGCAGATGTGGGCAACCCCTCCGGCACACGTGGATGTGTTCTCAATGCCTTCTTGGGGTCTGGCACCCCTTGGGTCGTTGCCTACCTGAAAACACCTGCCTGATGCGTCAGACCCGGGCTCTGCCTGCTCAGCTTTCCCCGGTGAGATTCATCTGGTATCTGCTGGATGATAAACCATTATGCAACGGTTGCTGGGTTTGCATTTTTGCAAAACACATTTGGAGTGGGCGGCCCACGAATGCCAGGAGACTGTGAACTGCTAAATGGCCTCAGGTATGGGGGAAGGCAGAGAGATCAGTGTGGGGCCGTGGGATTAGTGAGGCCATGGGCAGCTTATACCGACAATTTCATTTAAAAAGCAGGAAGATCTCACTGGCTTACCGGGGATGTGTCCGTGTAGGGGAACACCACACGCATGGCTGACACTGGGCAGATGAACTGCCGCTTGCAGGAGTCAGCATGCTGATGGCTGGAAGTGAGCGTCCTCTTTCCCATGCCTGTATCGTGCTGGTCTGAACTGGTCTGGAGAGGCTGAAGCTGTGATCTGCGCAAGCCTGTCATGTCTGCGTGTTGCAGAATGGAAATCACTATCCACCCGCTATACGTCTCCTGCTAAGCAAATACATTTTGATGCTACGTCACTCGGCGGGTCTGGTTCAGGGGCCACCCCACGCAGTTTCCCAGGAGCAGGGGTCGGGTCTGCAGGTCTGGCCTGAGGCCAGAGGGGCAAATCATAGATTGTTAAGGGTTGGAAGGGACCTTAAAGATCATCTGGTTCCAACCCCCCTGCCATGAGCAGGGACATCTTCCACTAGACCAGGTTGCTCAGAGCTCCATCCAACCTGGCCCTGAACACTTCCAGGTTCAATACCTGGAAGTATATATTCCACCTGGAAGTAGAATACCCCCACCCTACATCTGGGAAGGAGATGGGAGTCCTTCCAGAGTAGTGACTGGGCACCTCAGGTGCCCAAAGGTGCTCAGCCAACCTCAGGACATCTTTGGCTGCATGACCAGAAAGCAGGACTCCCACAAGGAGAAAATCCTGTGTGGAGAACCTACGCTTACATGGGCCGCCCATGGGCACTGACTGCTTACCTCTTTGCCTTTGCTCTGCCTTCACACAAAGCTCTTGAATTCTGTTTCCTTTTTCAATAAAATAGTTTTCTGCTCCCCACCCTGCACATTTCTCCTTTGGTGTCAACAACAGGCAGCACCCTGGCTACACCGACCAATTCATGACCAATTTTCCAGTTTGTTTTTGTCAAAAATGCCTTCTTATATAAAACAATAGCAATGTTTGCTTTCTACAGGGCTCTCCTGTTGGCATACGTACAAGGAAGGCCGGACACCGCCTTGGAAGATGGTACACCCATTACTCCCTTCTTCTCAGGAAACAATCTTGCAGGGTTGTCCCCACAGTCCTGGGCCTGTTGGTGGGTCTTCTTTCTAAAGAACTCGCTTTGGGAAGGACCCCCCTCCTCCTTTGCAGTCAGCCCATCTTCCTCAACCCTTGCATCATTCTTGCTGCCTTTCTGGCTTCCTTTGGCCTGAGGACCTCCGTGAGCAGTGGAGGAGGGCACAGGTACACTCCGGACTCTGCGGATGTCCCCAGCCTCCAAGGATAAAGCGTGGGCAGGTCCCACCCACGCAGGCAAGGAGTGGGAAATGTTAGAGCTCTAAGCCTGTGCTGAACATGCTGTGTCATGAGATCAGTCATGAAAAAACGCTTTGTAGCTGCCTGGTGGCATCCAGCGCAAGAAGAGAGCACAGCTGAGACCCAGCTCACACGCAGCTGCTCCTCTGGAATGGTGTCACCGGAGGAGGGAAGGGGAGCCTCTGTGCTGGGGAGCCCTTCTCGCCCGCACCAGCCATGCCGGTCAGAGACCTCGGGGTGGGGAAGAGACGTGCCCTTGCGTAGCGGGACCAGGTCTGGGCAGGCAGTGTCCAGCCACAGACAGTGCCAGTGAGCTTCTCTTGCCAGAAGCACCAAGGCCTGCTCAGGTACGTGTGCAGGTCACCTCGGGGCTGCGGGAAAGCCCGTGCCAGGGAGGTGATGGATCCTTCACATGGGCACTCTGCAGCCTGGGACAGGCCTCCTTCATGCATGCATCCGCTGGCACCGGGCACAGCGGTTGGGAGCCATCATCCCGTCTGCTGGCTGTGACCACTGCTTGTGTCTCTGGTCCATGTCGCAGACCGAGCACTTCACCCCCGCTTCCCCACCGACCTTCTCTTCAACAGCCAGGTCCTGGCACCCCGAGGGCCTCCCCGCAGGCTCCCACACTGGCAGCCCCTTCTCCTGTGTCCTGTCACTGCACAGCCGACACCGGCACCTCGGGGCTGGAGCAGCGCTCCTCCCAGCCCAGAACGGCATGCCGGGGTAACGCAAAGCCGTGAAGGGCCACGAGCCTGCTGAGCTAGACATGAGGGCCAGCTCTGAACCTCCATCTGAACCTTGGGGTCCTCCCAGGCTCTGCTGAGATGCCAGCCTGGGCTTCTGCCCCCCGCCCCCGCCAGGCTCCTCAGGGCTGGGACAGCCCAAGACCCCACCGGCACAGAACGGTAACGGGGCTGAGCTCACCTGGCCTCCCAGCACTGCCCAAAGGGGCAATGCCCCCTCGCTGCCCCAGCTACACCATCCGCAGTGGCACTCAGCTGGCCCACCAAGGAGGTGGGGCATGGGCCCATACCCGTGGAAGCGTTTCATATCTGTATGGCATTTGGCCATTGCAAAACATAGAACGAATCACACAATCATAGAATGCTTTGGGTTGGAAGGGACCTTTAGAGGTCATCTAGTCCAACCCTGCAGTGAGCAGGGACATCTTCAACTAGCCCAGGTTGCTCAGAGCCCCGTCCAACCTGGCCTTGAACATTTCCTGGGATGGGACCTCCACTACCTCTCTGGGCAACCCGTTCCAGTGCTTCGCCACCCTCACATATTGGCCGTCTTGTAAAAGGCAGCAGTAACACAAATGGTGGTTGGATTTGTCCAAAGTGGCTAAATCTGAGGGAAATCTGCAGGGCTGTAAATGTCCTTTCCCCCCAGGTAAGGGTGAAACCTTCCATCCCCAGCAACAGCTGCAAGAGGAACGGATGGGAAGTCGCTGTGCTCCTACTGAAAGCTGCGCTGGCACAGGGCGGAAGCAGCACGGGATTCACCAGTGCAGCGGCTGCAGGGGAAACCAACGTCCTCCTCTATCTAGTTCCCCACAAGAAGGCAGGAAATGTGCTTCTCAGTGACGGAAATAAAGGTTGTTTACCCAAGCATGTCCCTGGGAGTGAGGAGCAACTCACAAGGAAGAACACAGCTGAGACACCTATCATCGCAGAAGTGGAGACAAAAATGAAGGCATTCCATTGCATGGCAACAGAGGTGAAGCAGATCAGCCAACACTGTAGAATCCAAGCATTGCAAGCCCTGATGCAGCCCCAGAAGGGTTAAATCCTTTCCTTGAACAGATGGAAGGCGCCTGCCTGCTCTGGCAGCTGCAGCCAGTTCCTCTGGCCAGGTGGACGAAAACCACCATTCAGCAGAAGCCCCAGGGAACAGGCACGGGTTGTTTTCCAGTTTTCCCTGGAGCAGGCGGACTCGGGAGCAGGTGCTGGTCTGTGGCAGCACGAGCGACAGCTTCAGCAGCGCGCCTGTGCTAGAAAAGAAGCCTTTGCTGCAAAACGTGACGTTAGAAATACGCGTAGCCTTCCCTGTCCGTTGGTGTTGGACACCGCGGTAGGAGAGCTGCTGCGGGGCTGTCTGCCTTGCCTCTCTCAGGAGCGCAGGCTTCACGGCTTCTCTGTGCGCGGCTGTACGGCCAAGCACACGGGGTGCTTCAGAGGGGACATCATGGCTTGAGCGGGCAGCTGGTGCCCTTGCTTCTGGGATGGAGTAGGAGAAGGATTTAGCCTGCTGCTTCCTCTCCTGGTTTTGGTGGTACAGGCTGTTGGTTTCTGATTTTGCTGTGGGAAGTCTTGCAAGTTACCACATCCTTCTGGGGGATATTGTCTGGACCCCGGTTTACTTGCCAAGACCAGAGTTTTCCTTAAAGTCGGGTTCAAGCTACTCCAGCTGGAAGAACCAAGGACCAATCCGAAAATTGCCCTCAGATGTACAAAGCAGTGTTTTGTTTAAAAATATGCTTAAACCTAACTAATAAACCACCACCAAAGCAAGCAGTTAGAGTCTCTGATTGCCTCAAAGCTGGGCCTTAGAACTTTGGGAGAGAGACAGTGAGCAACACGGTGAGTGTCCGGCAGAACGAGACGGACACAGCACGTTCCCGTGCGCCGAGGCTTGCTTGGCAAACGCCGTGTAGGAGAGAGACGAAGCCTTCGAAGGCGGAGGAGTTGTTCTGGAGGGAGGGGGCTGTTTTTATTAAAAGCGGTAGCAGTGGGGACTCCGCAGCAACCTTCACTTCCCTCGCAAGAAGCTTAAGCAAGGAAGGGCTGCCTTGGTTTGGCTCTGATCGCTCCCTGGACAGTCCCGTTATGCACCAGGGACTCCCCCACCTCCGACGGACCCCTTCCCCAGCTCCTCCTGCCCCCTCAGAAGAGCAGAGCGGAGCAGCAGTGGCAGCTGGAACCGCGTGCCCGAGCGCTGCCGGCACCGCACGGCGTGTCTGCGAGAGGGGCCTGGCTCATCATCACCAGTTTCGGTGTCTGACAGCCACAGCCGCTTCTTCGCTGGCAGAGAGATGTTATCTCCTGCTGTCCCCACACCCTCTTTGCAGAGCCCTGTTCTGTCTTGATGCCTGGGGGTATTTCCATCCCTGACTGTAAGGCCTCGGTTGCAGAAACACTGCGTACGGTGAATGCTGTGCAGGGATTTTCGGTGGTTGCTGTTGTGAGTAATGATTTCCCGGAAGACAGCGAGGCTCCGTCACCTGGGGAAACACCCTGCCTGCAGATCTGAAGCTGAGCTGATGAAGCACGGAGCAGACCTCAGTGCGGCACCAAACAGCCCCCAGCCTGGCAGCAGTGAGTGGGGCTTTCAGGTGTTTGAGGTCCAGTGGGACAGCACTGGGGCTGGGGCACTTCAAGAAGAAACCAGTGCACTGAGAGCAGCAAGGTCTCAGCTCAAAGGGGAGGCCGCTGGCTACCTACGGGAATGGCGCTGAAGTGCTTTCACACTGGTTGCTATGCATAATTTCATTAATTAACATAAGACTGTAGCCTTTGAATTTGATGAGCCTGGATTTAGGCATGAGGCTGAGCCTGTCCCCTGGTTGCCTCCCCGATGCCCAGCGCTACCAGCCTCCCTGGGTCTGCTGGCTCGCAGGATGGCTCATGCTGCTGGCTAGGAGACATCTGGCAGAAGAACATGGCAGGATCTTGGCAAATGCAAACACCTGCACCTTGCAACGCTTTGCCCAAGGAGGGGTAAGACAGGAAAGTGAAGCACTGCCGGACAGTGGCAGGTTGCAGCTTCCCTACCGTCCTCCTCACTTCTCGGGAGGCAATTAAGTTCATGCTTGGAATTACTGGGTAAAGGACCTCCACCACTGTGCCAGCTACGGGAGCACATCCTGTGAAAGCATCTTTAATCCGATGTTGCACAACAGCTTGGTGGTGGGTGTAGGCTCCACAGTGACCCTCTGGGAAATCTGGCTCCCCTAGCAGGAGGGAAGGGATGCCACGCATGCAAGTGGTGGATCTCCGAAAGCATGCGTGGCTTTTTGGCCGTGACAGTATGCAGGGGGCTGGGGGAAAGAGGGATGCAGTGAAATGGGCAGGTGGAGGTGATTTTGGACCTGAGTAGACTCCCTGCCTTGAAGGCCCATACCTCTGCAGTGAGCAGAATGAGCTTCAGGTTCAGAAGACGGTGGGGTCCAAGGCATCATCATTCAGCTGTACGTCCTGCACCTCTGTGAGGTGGATCATGGATTGCGCTGATTCTACACCTGGAAAAGAGGTGGGATGCTAAGATAAACCTCACCTGTCTTGTGGCAGGGAACGGCGCACTCTTTATAAACCTGGGGCAGATGGGAGAAGAGCAAGGTGTTCACATGCTGAACTTTTCCTTCTTCCCTTGGTCTTCAGCCAAGTCCAGATGAACTTTGACTTTTCCAGTTCCTCCCTGCATAGAATCACAGAATCATAGAATGGTTTGGGCTGAAAGGGACCTTAAAGATCATCCCATTCCAACACCCCTGCCATGGGCAGGGCCCCCTTCCCCCAGCCCAGGGTGCTCCCAGCCCTGTCCAACCTGGCCTTGAGCACTGCCAGGGAGGGGGCAGCCACAGCTCCTCTGGGCAGCCTGGGCCAGGGCCTCACCACCCTCACCAGAAAGAATTCCTTCCTTCCATCTCATCTACATCTCCCCTCTTCCAGTCTAAAGCCCTCACCCCTTGTCCTGTCCCCCCAGGCCCTTGCACAAAGCCCCTCCCCAGCTCTCT